CACTCCGACTGACGCGTGCGCTTATGATCAGCAGAAATCTGTGGTTTGCGGTCTTGTACGGTTTGAGAGCATGGCGCTCGTAAACGAAGTTGAGGGGACCAAGGCTGTCACGGAATTATCAGTATAGTAGACTAACGGGTGCATGCGGAAGAAGGGGGGGAGAATGTTTGGTTGCAGCACAGAAGGGGCGAACGAGGTAAGGCGGGAAGGGGACGAGATTTAATGGGAGAAAGAACCCACTCAGAGTTGACGCACCCGAACATCTTTGCGATGAAGCCCACGAACTAACTATTTGCGCATCCTTTGCATCTCAACAGTTCCCCGCTCTCTATATCAATACATGTTGACGAAAGCGGCCATCGGATTTCGTTTTGATTGCAGCGGGAGGTCGAGTCAGGATCTCCAGGCGACGTCGGCAGGGGCCAGAGAGGAAACATTGGACGAGTCGCATGAAAGGGTTCCGGAGTTCAATCAACGGGTACTTCGAAAGTGGAAGCCAGACCCCCATCGAAGCTGGCTGAAACATCGACTTGACACCAACGATTTTGCAAGTTAGAGAGCCCATAGCCTAGGTGGGTACATCGGAAGCGCTCTGGGGAAGCGGAGTTGTCTTTCTCGCATAGCCACACCCAAAACAAGCAGCCTTGCCACGCCTGTACACGCATCTTCCTCCCAACTTCTATCTCATCGTCTACAATGTGTACCCTACCCAGCGACCCTTTCGTCGAACCGTTCTACAGTCTGAAAAAACCATTCACGCGATTGCTCTCTCCAGTACCTGGATCCGCGGGTGGCACTAGCATCAATATAGCCCGCCCCAGCTCTGCCCCGCCTATCATGGTAACTCAATCTTCGACCATCCCCGCGGCGGACATGGTCATGCCAGTCACCAGTAAGATACTTTTTAGTCTTCCTGCCCCAAAGTGAATGTTGATCGCTCATCAAATCAAATTTGCAGGTGATCCGTTTGAAGTCCCTGGGGAAGGAGAGGTTGAGCGCCCACAGCAGGTTTTACCTATCTCCACTGGTCTGTGTTAACTCCAAACCCCTATCTCGTTCATTATTGGTAACACTCAAGTGCTTCTGTTCTGAATGTAGGCCTGGTGTCAGTGGGTACGGAAATGATTGTTGCCTGTGAGATACCCCAGGCCCTCAGTCTGTTTGCTATAATGTTGATGCCGACCTTTTTCAATTCTAATATCACAGTTGATCAGGTTGAACGCCCTGTGCAAGAAGCTGTTGATACCTCTTCTCCTATCTTGACTGGTTCATGTTTGCTCCAAGTCCCTATATTCCATTTCTGATAACTCTGTATAGATCCTCCAAGTTCTGACTTGCCCATCCCTCTACCCACTCATTCTGCTCTGAATGCAGAAGTAATGCCTGCCAGTCAGTACTCTTGTAAATATAGCTCAGTCCTGCTCAAATCTAATAGATCATACAGAATTCTCAACAAACTTCCAAGCTGACACTATAAACAACATTTCAGCTGAAAATCTGATCACAGGTGATAACTATGGTTTGTTGTGTTTGGATCATTACATTTTATTGCTTTCACTTACATTTTGATAGGTACCATCATTCAAGGTAAGGAGTAAGAAAAGGACTTTATTCATCTTAATGATATATGTGGTTGGTAGGTGTGGACCCAAATATTCAAATCACACTTGAGATGATTAGGGATGAACAACTGGGTATTATAGCAGTTTCTTTTGCCAAATGTATAATTGACTTCATTTTTTTGCTATAGTGAAGGAGATTTATAAGTGGCTTTCTCCTTCTAAAGAGTCCCTTAACTACAATGCTGCATATGCAATTCTGGGGAGTCAATCAGATACTTGTCAATGGTTTCTCAAAGGAGATACATTTTCTGGGTGGCTCAAACAGCCTGGCTTTCTCTGGATCAAAGGAAAATGTAAGTCATCTGTCACAATTTGTAAATTTATATGTGATTGACAGTCTATCCAGCTGGCTCTGGGAAAACCATTTTGAGGTTGAGAATTCCAGTATTTTTATGAAATTGAATTGATTTCTATTCTCACAGCTCAGCAATAATTCACAATGTTCTTCAAAGATTCAATTTGGCTACTGCATATTTCTTTTTTGATGGAAGAGACTCACAAAAGGATTTCCAGCTGCATGATAAACTGATGCGATCACTCATCTGGCAATTCAGTCTCAAATGTGAGGGTAGAGTACCTAAAGTCTTGGTGGATCTTTATGCTTGCTGTGGCAATGGCCATCAGGAGCCAACTCTGGATGATCTGCAGAATACTCTTGAAATGATTCTTGGTGGCTTTAGCTCAACATTTATTATTCTGGATGCTCTTGATGAATGTATTGAAAGAGAAAAGCTTCTTAGCTGGGTTGAGACTGTTATTCTGGAGAAAGATATGAATCTAGGTCTCCACTTGATAGTTACTAGTCGCCCAGAGCAGGAGATTGAGGACAAGCTCAAGTTTTATCATTACCTTGACTTGGTTGAGGAATCTGAGAATCATGATCTTGTGGCCTATCTTGACTATCAGCTTCGGAATGACTCTAACTTCCAAAAATGGAATTCTGAGACTCAAGACCAAATAAAGTTGACATTGATGAAACAAGCAGATGGAATGTATGTTTATTATCAATATTTGAATGACAGGATAATTGTTAACTGCAATTCTAGGTTTCGCTGGGTTGCATTACAGTTAAATGAGTTAAAACAGTGTCGGACCAAGACTGACCTAAAAAGGCAGCTAGCTGATCTACCTCAGGGTTTGGATAAAACCTATGATCGAATCTTGCTGGGAATCAATCAAAAAGATCATGGTTATGCAAAACTATTTTTACAATGGCTTTCTTTTGCTGCTCGTCCACTGACACTGGAAGAGCTGGCTACAACTGCTGCTGTGGATCTTTGTGCTGAGGGTGGACCAGAGTATAACTCTGATAATGAACTTCAAGATATTAAGGATGTCCTGAAAATATGTTCTGGTTTCATTATGAATGCAAATGGTATGTACAATTTAGAATAATACCAGATTGAAATGAGTACTGACTATTAAATAGGTTTTATCAAGCTTTCCCACTTTTCTGTCAAAGAATATCTGGTATCTGATTATGTTCAAAATCATGAAGGAACACATATCAGAGACTTCAGCTTGAATGAAGAGCTATCACACTCTGTCATATCTCACATTTGCCTGGCATATCTTTTGCAATTCAATACATCTGAGCCACTTGATATAAATCTGGGAGTGTCCTCCCCTCTTGCAAACTATGCTGCAAAACACTGGATTTCACATACATGTTCCAGTGGAAAATATAGATCTGAGTCATCTATAGGATTTGCATTGATAATGGAGCTTTTCACAGATGAGAATGCTGCCTTTCTCAACTGGGTTCAAATTTACGATATAGATAACTATGGCTTTAGAGAGCTACAACGACAGAGGGATCAAATTGCTAAACCCCTATATTATGCATCACTGGCTGGACTGACTGAAGTAACACATCATTTGCTGGAAATTGGAGCAGATATAAATGCACAAGGAGGCAATTATGGAAATGCACTCCAGGTAGCAATAGATGAAGGCCATGAGGCCATTGCAAAGCTGCTGATAGAGAAGAGGGCAGATGTAAATGCACAGGGAGGAGAGTATGGAAATGCACTCTATGCAGCAGTAATAAGACACCATGAGGCCATTGCAAAGCTGTTGATAGAGAAGGGGGCAGACGTAAATGCACAGGGAGGACAGTATGGAAATGCACTCCAGGCAGCATCAAATCAAGGCTATGAGGCCATTGCAAAGCTGCTGATAGAGAAGGGGGCAGATGTAAATGCACAGAGAGGACAGTATGGAAATGCACTCTATGCAGCATCAATTACAGGCCATGAGGCCATTGCAAAGCTGCTGATAGAGAAGGGGGCAGATGTAAATGCACAGAGAGGATATAATGGAAATACACTCTATGCAGCATCAATTACAGGCCATGAGGCCATTGCAAAGCTGCTGATAGAGAAGGGGGCAGATGTAAATGCACAGGGAGGAGAGTATGGAAATGCACTCCAGGCAGCAATACATGAAGGCCATGAGGCCATTGCAAAGCTGCTGATAGAGAAGGGGGCAGATATAAATGCACAGGGAGGAGAGTATGGAAATGCACTCCAGGCAGCATCAATTACAGGCCATGAGGCCATTGCAAAGCTGCTGATAGAGAAGGGGGCAGATGTAAATGCACAGGGAGGAGAGTATGGAAATGCACTCCAGGCAGCAATACATGAAGGCCATGAGGCCATTGCAAAGCTGCTGATAGAGAAGGGGGCAGATATAAATGCACAGGGAGGAGAGTATGGAAATGCACTCCAGGCAGCATCAACTAAAGGTCATGAGGCCATTGTAAAGCTGCTGATAGAGAAGGGGGCAGATGTAAATGCACAGGGAGGAGAATATGGAAATGCACTTCTGGCAGCAGCATGGAGAGGCCATGAGGCCATTGCAAGGCTGTTGCGAGAGAATGGGGCAGATGTAAATATGATGGACCTGTCAGATTATGGCAGTGATGATACATCATCATCAGATGATTAGATATCTAGGATGCTAAAACCTCTCCACAAATATTAAGGGTAGAAGTATTCTTGGTATGTTTAGTATAATAAAACATTGGGATGAAGTGTTGTGACTTGTATTCCAAAGTATGACACTATTACACCTGGTATTGGAATGTAGGTAGAGAGCAATATGATGTTTTAAAACCAATTTTCTTGCCATTTTTGTTATAATGGAGAAGTTTCCATATTTGAGCATATGCACCTAAGAGTTAGAACTTGAAAATGATTCTCTCCAATGACATCTGATGACCAACAGTGACCAACCACAATTCATATTTTCCCCTGATTTTCTGGCTATATTTCATGCAAATTTTCCTGTTTGACTGCACTCTGAGAATAGTATATGAGATCAGCAATGGTGAGCACAAATATTTTTTCCTTTTCTTTTTTTAACACATTTGGTCTGTACATAACTATCCACTTTTACTATTTTTTTTTTGTTCTGCAGTGTTTGAGACTTTTCAGTGTTGCACAACTTTTGAGTCACCACTCAATGACACACCCATAATCCTTGTTTTTATTCCAAAAATTTATTGAAACAATAGAAGGGTATTTATGTCATGAAGTTTTTGTAGTGCTTGAATTTCTTGAAGCTAATTTCCTTATTATGAGCAGGGAAATGCACATCACCACAATGCACACCTTAAATTCAAACACACCTCAGGATTGAGAAAAAAGAAATCTGTCAAATTGTAGTGTACTTAATAGTAGTTTGTCAAATGTATGTGGTATCGCGAGGGGGATCCTGCACAATGGGACAACAAATAAATAAATGGTTAGATTCAAGGGGGAACTGAAGGAACGTGGGGTGGGTGGGGGTTGGCATTAAGCGAGGGATGGAGGGGGAGGAAATTTGGAAGCTGGAGGGAGGGAGCTGGAGGTTGTGAACTTTGAGCAGGGAATAACGTCCAAATCCGTGTGCCTCTAAACCCTACTATCCCATCCATGAGGAATGACGAACACGCCAGACACAGGACTCCAACCATCCTCTGGACCCCTCTCATCTCCTCTAATAAGACTTGCAATACTTGCTGTATGCCTATGGCTGCCCCTCCCCTGATCCCTCTTGGGCACTATGAACTATGAATAGATTGTCGTTAGTTGACAGAACGACGTCATGCCGAGAAACCCATACCTGTTTCTGCTGCGAGCCAAAAGAAGCAAGTGAGCCAGGCACAGGGGAGCGATACATGATATCCACTTCCTCAGGCCTGGTTATCATGGTTGTGGGAGTATAAAAGGAAAGAGAGAAAAATTCCCAAAAAGGAAAGAGAAAAAGAGAAAAAGGAGGGATTTCCTGACTTATAGTAACCTTTCTCTTGGTAAAAATTCCAGAAAATTACCACAAAATACATACTTACAGTGGCCACCAACATGTGAGCATGACATTAATTGTTATACCACTTTTTCATGATACTTCTGATGGTGAAGAATCAAAGTATGTACATAGATTTGGTAGCATTCTCAACCCTCAAAAGAAATTCACAAGAATAAAAGGGGTGTCTGCTATCCTTTCCTTCATATTGTTTTGAACCACATGAACCACAGGAATTTGTGCACTGATCCTTGTTAATTCAACCTCCACATCCTTTTTTTTCACACTTCCAACATTTCCTTGCTGCATGTTTTATACTATGGACTGTCACGGAGGATTCAGAGATAAATTTTGAAATTAGAATTTCTCAATAGGTTGACCTTCATCTGGTTTGATTTCAAAGAACTTAAATGGATATATACAATTTATCTGTGGATTGTAATAGTTTTATATCTGTGACACTTTAGCTCAAATTTCCCACTCATTTTTAAAGATGATATTAGTACACTTGTAACACATTACACTCTAGAGAAATGTAACATCTCTGGTATACCATAAAAAAAAGATCTCATCTGAAGGCACATGATTGCTTTCAAAATTTTGATTTTGGCAAGTGGATCAGGTGTTATTAATCCTGTGTAGATTTTTTATTTTTCTGTTGGGTATCCAGCATGTGTGTCTACCCTGAGTTATTATTCTCACCAGGCAATACACTTGGTCCTGCAACTGAAATATTTTCAGGTGGAAAAGGCATATTATAGAGCATTGCTTGGTTTTGATCAGTGTAATGGCTGGTAATTAGTTGCTTTCCTGATGATGAGGGCTGGGCCACTGGTAGAGTTTATTGCAATATGTTTGTGAAGCTCAGGGTTTGAATTTGAGAGCTTTAACTCCTTTGCATTGAGATCTAGTCTCTGCCAGATTACATGTGTGCAGTTACTTTAGATGTTCCCCAAGCTGAAATTACAGTTGATAAATGATATTTTTGATTATCACAGGAAATGATGCTGCACACAATGTTGTGGGAGGGGAAGATGTTAAAAATGTCGAAAATTCAAAGTACAGGACAAGACAGGGGCATGGGAACTATATACCATACATGGCAGCATCCTAATACAGCAGCTGCTAATGTTTCCATTCTCGGAATTATTTTGGTAGCAGCTGCTACTACCCACAGCCATGGGAACTCTGCCGGTCGTGATTATCAACACAAGATCAACGCCCAATGCATCATGGGATGCAACTTGACCACCATCATGCCTTGACGTTGCTCAAGACAGATCCAATACGTCACACCGCCAGCTATCCCAGTCATTGCCATTGCATTCTCAATACCCCGTAGTACGATCATTAAATGCCTCTTCGAGTTAGCCTGAGGCCATTTGCTGGGTTGGATGACTCTGAGGTGTGTTTGCGATCTCTGCCCCCAGTTTCGCCTTCTAATCTTACATAGTTCATTCAAGCCCTGCAGTGTGCTACTCCATGGCGGTTCAGCTGGTCCTCCAATTCTGGTCGCAATATTGTGCGGTCTCACATCACAGACATGCGGCTTCATCCAGAGCAGCCACCATCCTTCACCTGCAACACCGAGCTCCAATTACGTGAGATTCTCTATTCCTTCTAGCCTAACATATCCGAAGCAGGATGTTCAGCGTTACCTCACGTCCTCTCAGCTCTCGTGTTCGTCATTTGATGCCATGGTGTTGCTGCCAGATTCGCAATGACCAATTATCCTTGTTCGTCGTCCCTGTTGTGCAGGAATAGAATTCACCACTGTCCTTCCTCGAACACTCATTACCACCATCCACTTATGAGGCTATGGTTGCCAGCTACCCAGCAGCCGCAGACCAGTCAGCCACCCAGGGGCCAGCATTGACCTTCTTTTAGAGCACATCACCACCGCTTTTGACCACCTCCCACAAGGCACCCACCTCTCCGTCATCGACCGAACGGCAGACAACTCATATGGCCCGTTCATTCTTGCAGATTGCCATTTCGGTAGTCTGGACGAGGGGTTTGACAAGCATCCGTGAGTAAACCCTTTTTCTCTTAAAGTGCATACGAAGATCTGACATTGTCGTTGCCTTCATCAGGGAATGTGGTGATCTCTTTTTCCCCATCTTCCTGACTCTTGCTTTTTACATTCTCGGCACGGCGAATGTCCACTGTTCATCAACCTCCACCTATCGCCACACTGGCCGATCAATGACATTGGCTTGGAACCTGCATCAGATGTCCATTTCCAAATGCCACGATTCTCCGAACCTACCCACATTTCCTCTACTTCTCTTCCCTCGAGCATGTTGCACTTTCCATATCATTGTATGACGAATTCCAGTGGATCCAAAAGCATCAGGACCATAGCCGCTTGAAGCAACGAGGTTGACAAAAGTTTTGCAGGAGACAGTCACCAAGACTTTGGTCGTGAAAGGGTCTTTGATCTTGACTGATCTTACCAACGAAGTTTGAAGGGAGAGGCGGCTGTCGCTCATGGAACGTTCTCTGACGTACGGAAAGGTACTTGGAACGATCCGATTGAGAGAACCATGGCTGGTAAGTTTCTTTGTGGTGTTGTGTTGCAAAATCAGCTCACAATATGATTTAGGTTGCCATCAAGGTCCTGCGTCAAGTCATGGTACAAAACGTTTGAGAGAAGCTCATTAAGGTATGGAGTGCTTCTGTTGCTGGAACGTTTTGAGCTGACATGATGCTTTGTTAGCAATTTCATTCAGAGGTTATTGCTTGGCATCGTCCATGTCAACGCAACGTGTCGCAGTTTTTCGGGATAGTGCATCTTTCACAGAACATTGGCATGGTATCGCCTTGGTGCGAACATGCCAGGTGGCTTCTGCCATTGCCTATCTCCACACGTTCAGGCCTACCATCGTCCATGGGGACTTGTAAGGAGTCAGGCCCCTTCCTTCGTCCTCTCCCACTTCCCGCTGACCCCCAACTCAGGGAAACGTCTTGATCGATGAGCATGTGTATGCAATCATCACCGACTTTGGGCTCTCTAAGGTCATTGAGGAAATGTCTGACACCGTCAGCAAGGGCATCTCTTTCTTTGCTGGGTCAACTGGGTGGATAGAGCTTATTATGTCACTGGTGGAAGACGATGGGAAAATTTCTCCCATTACTATGTCTAGTGATGTGTATGCATTCGCTTCGGTGTGCCTTGAGGTATGTCAGGCCTTGTACTCAAACTGATTTCATATGTGACTCGTGTGTGCCATGCAGGTGGCAACTGGACGGCTTCCCTATCCTCACAGAACAAACGACCATGCTGTAGCTCATTCGAGGAGTCAAACCTGCCAGGGGAGCTCGCTGCCTTGTCCAAAAGAGCGTGGATGTCATTTGGGATACTCTAGATTGCTGTTGGGACGCCATTGATTATCTCTGCCCTAGCATGCATGAGATGCTCACACCATTGGAAGAAATGGATCCAAAGCGATGATCTGCTACCCAAGTCAGCCCATCGTTCCTGCTCTGCATTGAGTCGCATGCTGTCTTCATTTCGACTAAGCATAAAACACTCATAAAGTCCTATCTCTACAACCCAACATCTGAGCTACACCATTCATGAAACAATGCCACCCTGTGCTTTCTCCAACAACACTGATGGAGGCCCAGAGACAAGAGACTTCAAATTGAACTTCACGACTGTTCCCTCGATCGAAATTCCTTGCCATCACAGCACCTCAAACATCGACTGGCGCTAATACTTATTCACCAATCCCAACTGTCGTATATGTATCTGTGTTTTCCCGACGTCTGACCGAAACACACAAATACAGGGTCAAGAACTCGTATCGCATATCATGGTGGTTACTCAAGGTTGCGTCGACCTGGACTCAGACTACACATTGTAATAAGAACTTACTCCTTGTGTCTTGACTCTTTTGTTGAATCGATGCCCCAATCCTTGAATTCTTGAAGCACCGAACTCCAAGAGAACCGTGTTTATACCTCATCAGCCTCGACCTTGACTCAGACTCATCACAGATAAGGATTCACTCTTCACGTCTTCTACCAAACCGATGCCTTCAAAATTTCAAGTTCTTGATGCACCCAACTTTGACGGGCTGTTGACCGCGACTCGGATCCATGGGCAAACTCACTCCTCCGGCATGGGTTGTAGTTACCGAAACAGTGTTACTTCAAGCACCGAGCTCGAGGATGCACTTTTGACTTATCGGCAGATAAGGATACACTCTGAGTCCTACTTTTCATAGCATTTACCAAATCAACGCCACGATTCTATGGACAAGCACTGATACGTCTCATTGTCTTCGACTCAGACTTATGTCAGGTCAGATAAGCATTCACTGAAACTCTGTACCGTTCAACAAGCCTGAACCCCCAATTCTTCAAGTGGTATGTCCCATAATACGAGGTCTTATCAGTGCCCCCCTAATTCCTGCAGGAATCCGGTCATTCCTGCGGATTCCGGTGGATTCCGGAGGAATGAAATTTAGCAGGGAGGCCTGCTATTTTCATCATTCCGGTGCCTTACCATTCCGGCGGAATTTGGGCATTCCAGAATTGACACCAGAATGATCCGCGAATGCAACGGAATCCGGTCCTTTGTTTGTTTGTTTTACCTCTGTTACCAAACAAAGGCAATGCTACCAAACAAACTCAATACCATTCCCTTCCACCACCACCAACCATCCTCTTTCCCACCCCCACGACAGCCACGATAAACCGACAACGGCACGCCGACCCACGACGACGACAACGACTCCACAACGGCAACGACCACCCAGCAACGAACGGCAACGACCACCGTCGGTGACGTGGCAGCCAAATGGACAACGACAACACCACCATCCACGAAAACGGAC